CGAGGTGGAGGTGGTGGGGTGGAGGTGGGCAGATGGAGGTGGGCAGGTGGAGATGGCCAGGTGGAGATGGCAGGATGGAGGTGGGCAGATGGAGGTGGCCAGGTGGAGATGAGATGGCCAGGAAGAGATTGTGGGGTGGAGGTGGGCAGATGGAGGTGGCCAGGTGGCGGGGCGGAGGTGGCCAGGTGGAGATGGCAGGGTGGAGATGGTGGGGTGGAGGTGGCCAGGTGGAGGTGGCCAGGTGGAGATGGTGGGGTGGAGGTGGGCAGATGGAGGTGGGCAGGTGGAGATGGCCAGGTGGAGATGGCAGGATGGAGGTGGGCAGATGGAGGTGGCCAGGTGGAGATGGCCAGGAGGAGATTGCAGGGTGGAGGTGGGCAGATGGAGGTGGCCAGGAAGAGATGGACGGTGGAGATGAGATGGCCAGGAGGAGATTGCAGGGTGGAGGTGGGCAGATGGAGGTGGCCAGGTAGAGATGGCCAGGTGGAGATGGCCGGGTTGAGATGGGGATGGTGGTGGCCAGGTGGAGATCTAGTGTATTTGTCTGCAGTTGAGGAGCTGGTCTGTGGGAGTTACCAATACTTGGGCAACAATTACTTAAAACTACAAGAGAGGGTGATTTCAGAGGAAGGAGAGGTGTGTGTGCTGGTGGCCTGGGGAAGGAAAGACCACGAGGGAATAAAAAGTATGGTTCAGTCTGGCCGGTGTGGCTCAGTGGTTGAGCGACAACCTATGAACCAGGAGGTCACGGTTCAATTCTTGGTCAGGGCACATGCCTGGCTTGCGGGCTCAATCCCCAGTAGGGGGCATACAGGAGGCAGCGGATCAATGATTCTCTCTCATCATTGATGTTTCTCTCTCTCTCTCCTTCTCCCTTCTTCTCTGAATCTTTAGAAAATCAATAAAAAATGAGGGACAGGTTAAATATTACTGAATTTTACAGGGAAGGAGAGGGAGTTAAATTTATATATGGCACCAAAGTTTCTAAAGCACATAATTGTTGCCCCTGTGTGTGCCTCGGTGTCAGTGTGAGGCAGAGCTTGTGATGGCAGGAGCCGATAAGGGTGATCCTGCTTAATTCAAAGTGTGTGATATACAGTCAAGATGAGTAGCCAGTTGGAATGTAGACTCTCACGTTCAGAAGACTCATGAGGTTTGAAAGTATACATGAACCAGGAGGTCACGGTTCAATTCTTGGTCAGGGCACATGCCTGGCTTGCGGGCTCAATCCCCAGTAGGGGGCATACAGGAGGCAGCGGATCAATGATTCTCTCTCATCATTGATGTTTCTCTCTCTCTCTCCTTCTCCCTTCTTCTCTGAATATATATATATTTTAAAGTGTGGTTCACTGGAACTGAGGGGAGGAAGGAAGGGAAGCAGAACAGAAGAAGTGAAGCAAATGCATGAACTTACCCCAGGATAAGCCCTGGGCTGGGGCTCTTTCCCCCAGTTACTGAATGCCAATATCAACGGTTTTGCATAATATACTTAAAAACAAATTTGTTGAAATGGTTTTTCCCTCCTGGGACTGGTGTTCTGGGAAACAAGTCTCCCATATTCATTTTTTAAGGGAAATCTGATGGTGTAGGAAGAAACCAATGCAACTCCTATCCATGAATTCTAAGCCTGCCGGCATGCAGGCTTAGAAAAACAACAGTCTCGCCCACTTCCAATCTCAGCACTTGTTTCCCGATCCGAAGTGCTCAGGGCCCATTTAAGGAAAGAAATAGATGCCACAGATGCATAGAGAGCATGGAGGACAGCAAGACTCCCTCCCTCGGAAACGGCTCCTTTCGGGAGCTGGGAGCCAGGAGCCGGGAGCCGGGCCTTTCCATCCTCGGGAGGAGGGTGAGCACCGTGCGAATGGAACCTGGGAACCTGGGCTCTGTAACAGCGGCTTCCTTGCGCCTCTGGTTCCTCCTGTCTGAGGGAGGGACTGAGTGCTATGTTGTTTCCTGTGGGAAATGAGAAGACCATTGTCTACTTCCTGCTTCCCCACATTTTTAAGAGAAGCAGCAGTCATAACTGCCCTTTCACCTCTCAGGGCTCCCATGTGCCCTGCATTTCCTGGATCCTTCCTGTGCGTCCCCACTTGGCCAGCCCAGCACCCCGGGTTGCACTGGTCTCTACCTCTTCACTCGCTCATCTTTCTCTAAACCCTGCCAGTTAGTGGTCCAGTGTTCCAGATATTTTATTCTACTTCATCTTTTATTACATCCACTTAGGCTTTCCTTCTCCCTGCTTGGCAACACAGACAGGGAATTAAAAATGGGTAGTTGGCTCATCTCCTTCTTCCCATTGCCCTGGCGAGGTTATTCTAACAGTAGTGGCTCAGTGCACGGATTTGTGCACATTGAAAGGAAATTAATCAGAAGAAATATTTTAATATCGCTATTTTCCCTTTCTCTATAATAGAAGTGTCAACCAAATTCACGATCGAATATTACAGATTGAAACACACCCGTGCACTTGGCGCCAGGGAGAGTTTTATATGTATCGCGCATGCACAAGTCAACTTAGCCTTTTATATATATAGACTAGAGGCCCAGTGGATGAAATTCGTGCAAGAGTAGGCCTTCCTTCCCCCAGCTGCTGGCACTGGCTTCCCTCTGGTACCCAGGACCCAGGCTTTCCTCACAGCCCCAGCTTCGTCCAGAAGGTCATCTGGTCTAATTAGCATATTATGCTTTTATTATTATAGATGTCTCCCTTTTCTCACTGGTTCCACTCAGAAGATATTCAGTTAGTGTCCTGAAAGAGTGACGCAAAGGGTGGAGTCTCCTCTTTGCTCGGGAATGATGGCACAATTGGAGAATATGTTGATTCTGGGTGAATTAAAGAAATAGGCCTCCAACCAAGAACGAGAACATATATCACCCTGGACAGTGTGGCTCAGTAGTTGAAGTGTTGTCCCATCAATGTTTCTCTCTCTCTCCCTCTCCCTTCCTCTCTCTCTAAAAATCAATTAAACACGTATATTTTTTTAAAAAAGAAGGATAGCACGGTCCCTTACTTTGCATACTTAGGACATCTGTTGGTTTCCTGAATTTTTCAGTCCACAGCCATCACCTTGGACTGACAACGTGAGCACCAAGAGGTCACCCTTGGTCCAGGCAACGTCCAGTGTGTGACAGAGGCAGACCTCAGATCAGCTCTCACTTGGGCTGGACTTAAATTCCTTACAATCCCATGTTCCTGGTCCCCAATTGCAGCCCCTATGACACATGCTTCCCAGGAGACCGCTCAAAAAAAACTTCTCCAACCTGCGGTTGCCACCTCAGAAGTAGTGCAGGGAGAGGGAGGTGAGGTGCAGGCCTGGGCGGTTAAGAGGGCAGCCCAGGTCGGGGGTGCAGGCCTGGGAAACACTGTTTTGGTGGTTTTGTTACCTTTGCTTTGAAAGCTACGCCCCCTCCCCCTGCAATGAGGGACGCTGTGGAGTTTGCCGTAATTTGCAGAAATCTCCCCAAGTATGTGGGTGAGTGTCTCTGGCCGCATTTCCTGCAGCGGGAAACCCTCGCCTCCGATTCCATCACAAACCAGGAGGCCGTGGAGATGGCTGAGCCTCCGCCGCCCGTGAGCCGTGTGCAAGGGATAGAAACAGACTAAACAGGACGCACCCACTAACCCCAAGTCAGCGCAGAGGTGCTGCTCCCCATAGCCCCCGACGGCCTTCTTGGGAGGGCCATGGGTCGCTGTGTTCACAGAGATCTGAAAGCCATCCTGGTCTCAGCCTTGTCTCACTACTTGTTTTGTTCTGTTTCTTGTCCGTTTCAGATACACCGACACTCCTACACTGGATACTATGTCCTGAGCAAAATTCCTCATGGGTAAGACTGTTTTCATTTCCTTGTACTGAGAAGCTGCGGCGCACTGGCTAGGCGCTTAGTTCTTAGGAATTGAGGGCAGAAAACAGGTGTCTTGACTTTTGACCGCAGGGGTGCTGCTACTGCAGGACCTCTGGGACCAGGGACCCACACAGGGTCAGGGTCACTCGAGTCCAGCACCTGCCCCTGGGCAGCTCCCTCCCAGACCAGCTCTGCCAGCCCTGCTCTGTCCCTGTGCTTTGTTGCTTCGCCACCAGCTGCCGGAGGGGGAGAGCGGCCTGGCGGCAGCTGATGGGTATTCTCTCTCACATCCATATCTCTCTCCCTCTCCATTCCTCTCTCTCTAAATCAATAAAAACATATTTGTTTTTAAAAATGCATGATTGGGGACCCAAAGTGTGTGCAGGAAGGAAAGCATGAGAGCAGCGTGGTTTTGAAAGGTTTTCGGGTGGGCGGACAGGGGGCCCATCAGCACAGGAATCCTCATAGGAGCTCACCTCGGAGCCCAGGGGCAGGAAGACCCGTCCAAGTGCTGGGAGCACGTGTGAGCGGGACGCAGGGAAACGGTCGCAGGCCTGGGAAAGCGGGCAGGTGGCTTTTATTGTGTTCATCTCCATTCTGCTCTTCCCTCCTCCTTCTCCTTCTTTCTCCTCCATCCCTGCCCTCTCGTTTCTGCCCACCTTCCTCCCTCGCCCCCTCCCTGCTTCTGAGCGTTTGGGAAGGTGAGGTGCTTGGGAAACGGTCCAGCACCGAACAGGCTGCTGGCCGAGGGGCGTAGGTTCCCGTGAATGTTCCCGAGGAGCCTCCGATTTCCCCGCAGATGTTTGAACAGACAGCTGCCATGCTCATATAGGAGCACGCGCCACAGGGTACACGGCACAGCCTCTGGTCTGCAGCCCGCACGCTGTCTGGCTTGGGCGGAGCATGGGCAAGGCCTTAGGAAACACAGAGAGAAATCACTCCATGGGGACACATGAGAGATACAGGTAGATACGCAGCAAAATGTGATCCTGGTTTCTGTGATTTTTCCTGAAGAAAACTCAAGCCCGAGGAACTGAAGATGACCCGCGACAGTGCAAATAACTTGTCCACGGGCGTCTTCTTCCTAAAGCACACGCCACGTGTCTCCCTGGAGGAGGAGCCATGCTGTTATTTTTCAAGCAGATACACATCCGCAAAGGTCACAGCAGGCAGTGTAATTAAGCGGAGATTTATCTGTCCTGCTGGGAGCAAGAGAATTTATGGGAGCTGATGGCTCTTCCGGGCCCCTTAGATAAATCTGTAAAACTCAGAACTCTACAAGCATTTTACGCTTAACCTGCGGTGCTGATGTTTTACCGCCCCGTCAGGATTTAGGAGAAACAGATTCTGAGAACCTAGCTCAAGTGTTTACCAAACCTTGTCCTGGCCCGTCCCGCAGTGTTTAGAGCAGCGGTTCTCAGCCTGTGGGTCGCCAACCCGTGGGTCGCAACCCCTTTGGGGGTCGAACGACCCTTTCACAGGGGTCGCCTAAGACCATCAGAAAACACATATATACATATTGTTTTTGTGATTAATCACTATGCTTTAATTATGTTCAATTTGTAACAATGAAATTGGGGGTCACCACAACATGAGGAACTGTATTAAAGGGCCGTGGCATTAGGAAGGTTGAGAACCACTGGTTTAGAGTGTGGCCCCCAATACACCAATGTTGGGGGTTCAATCCCCAGCCAGGGAACATACAAGAATCAACCAATGAATGCATGGATGGGTGGAACAAGCAGTCTCTCTCTTCTCCTCCTCCTCCTCCTCCTCTTCTTCCTTCTCCCTCTTCGCTCTCTAAAATCACTACAGAAAATATAGAAGG